AAAGAATATATAAAATAAGATTCATAACAGAATTCAAATTCAGATGGAGTTTTGCTATGAACAAGTAGGATCGTGGAATTATTCAGTTTGGAACAGACCTCAGGCAGCCTCTAGGCCAATCCCCTGCCCAAAGCAGGTCCAGCCTTGGGGCCAGGTCGCTCAAGGCTTTATATGGTCAGCAACTGCAAACCTCCTAGGTAAAATCTCTCTGAGCCCCTACTCCACAGTGGCGCTGTCCTCTTCTGTACACCCTGTCTGAACCCTCGTGTCAGCTTTTGTTCATTGTCTTGTTTTCCCACCATGTCCCACAGTGAGGAGCCCACCATAAAAATACTATAAAGCTTTGAAAAGAGAAATCAGCTTAAGTCTTGAATTTTAAATTATTTAAACAAGCTACTGTAATAGATGGCAGTGCTGAGGAGCACAGGAAGCAGAAGCTGTAATCGTAATGCTTTGCACACTGAGGAAATAAGTCTTCCTCCTAGGTCTCTGCAAGTAGAAATAGATATACATCTTATGACATCTTGGTGAGTAAGTATTATTCTTTATTTTATGTGGATGTAGAAATAATGTTCTGACTGCAGAAAAGATGCAGGTTCTTGGAGTTTCCTAGAAAGCTGTACAATAGCAGAAGTGTTGAAAACATGTACGAATGACATTTTCAATCATACATGAATCCAGCTCATGTCAGAATATAGAAGTTCCTAGTTACTAAATTCACTGAATGTCTGTAAAGAATACGAGACATCAATGTCCATAGTAAAATATGTTTCTTGTTTCCAAATTTTATCCATCACTGCACTGAAATATTAGGATCTTAATTAAAAAATAAAATCCTAAACTTTTAAATACTGGAAGAAGAAAAATATTGTTAACCCACCACCAATGCAAACAATAAGCAGAACTGAAATTCCAGGTCAATGAGAAGGATAGCAAAACCGAAATATTATGGGTCTGTAATGAACAAAACAGTTACAGGTATATGCAGAAAGCTGGTATTATAATTCAAGTAGTATGTATGGGAACATTATCTGTGATAGGTAACTGTTATTGCTTTGTCCATGTAATTCCCAAATTCTAACCTACTAGAGATCTTGTATTTCTTAACAAATTTTCAGTTTGCCACTTGAAATACCGCATTGAAATGTCAAGCATAACTCCAAGTTTTAAGTATTTTAATGTTTTAGTAATTTCGCACCTGATAATGTTTTAGTGTGCCATTAATAAGAAGAGAAGACTGCTTTTCCACCCTTTCTGTGATCGCATGAGCAACAGTATAGTAGGACTGAGACCCTCTAGCACTATATTGCATGCTATATTCATCATCCACATCTTGTTTGGCTGTCCTGGAAAGCAGAAAAAGAACTAAAGTGAATTTCCACAAACAAACAGGTTTTTTGACCACTGCTCACATACGTATATCTAAAGAAACAGTGCAAATCCCCAGTTGTGGTGAGTACACCAAAGGGTGCAAGCTACTTTATAAACAGTACATAATTAATACCAAATGATCATGTTGCTTCTCCTGCAGATGTTCATGCCAGAGAAGCTGCCACAACTCACTGTGATCAAGTGAGCAAGTCACACTTGGGAAACGCCACTGTAAGAAATCACAATTCCTAGCAAAAAAACAGCACCTAAAGAACACTCACTCAATGATTTGCTTTGCATCTTTCTCAGAAACTTCCTCACTGTTAGGATCCAGGAGTATCTTCTCATCTGCTTCTAACCTGCTTGATTCTTCTTCATCATCCTACAGAACACAGAAAAAGAACAGGGGTGCTGGGAAGTGCAACATCTTCCTAAATCATACTTTCAACTGTGTCATGGTTTAACCCCAGCCAGCAACTAAACACCACGCAGCTGCTCACTCACCCCCACCCCCTCCAGTACATGCAGGAGAGAATCAGGAGGGCACAAGTAGGAAAACTCGCGGGTTGGTATAAACACAGTTTAATAATGGAAATAAAACAAAGTAGAACAGTAATAATAACAATGATAACAACAACAATAATAGAATATACAAAGCAGATGATGCATAACGTGACTGCTCACCGCCCGTCAACCGATGCCCCGCGTGTCCCAAACCACAAGAACCCCCCTTTTCCCAGACCACGCCTCCTAACTGTATACTGAGCATGACGTCACATGGTATGGAATACCCCACTGGACAGCTGGATCAGCCACCCTGGTTATGCTCCCCTCCCCAGCTTCCCATGACCCTGACCATGGGAAGCCGAAAAGTCACCGGTGCAAGCCACTCGCAACAACCAAAACATCAATGGGCCATCAATGTTCCTCTCATACCAAACCCAAAACACAGCACTACCCCAGCTACTGGGAAGAAAGTTAACTCTGTTCCAGCCAGAACCCGGACAACTGGCATTCACATATTGGTAGTTTTCACTGGTCAATGCTTTATGAAGAAACCTTAATCACAAAGTTCAACTTACACCTATTCTGCAACAGAATTGCACTGCAGCATAACAAGAAGATAATTTTTGACATACATTAACGAACAGAAAGTCATGATACTTTGAAATAAAAAGTACTTTCCCCTTTAATGATCTTACTTTTAAAAGCCTTACTCTGTCTACCATGTTCATGGGGAGGATTCCAATACCATGTGTATGTTTATATCATATTCCAGATGTCTGACAATTTAATAAAGCTTAAAAAACTACCAAGAACTGCTGTTTTAGGCTTCTAGTTTCTTAACTTTTTAAAAACAGACCACATTTCTACTCTTTTTAAAAAAACTTAATCTGTCTTCTGGCTACAGTTGCAACGGATAACCAACAACTTAAAATCTCACTAACGAAGCTGAACAAATCACGGCTCTGAGTTCTGCAAGTGTATTCGCCCAAGCTCTAAACAACACTGCTGCTAAAGAGTCTGTGCTAAAAATGCGGGCACATCTCTTTTAACATTCCTTCTAGAATCTGACAGGTATCAGGCCCTCCCCCCCCGCTATCTTAATACTGAGAATCTTGTAGAATTACATTAGCAGTAATTAGTGCTACGAAGGCAGGTACCTTAACATCATACAGTCGAGTCAGTTTCAGTGGTCATTTGGTCTAGTATTGTAAAGACTGCTAGACTTAGGAGATCTGAATTCTATACCTAGTTCTGCTACTAGCCTGTGGATTGAACATAGTCCTTCTGTAATCCTCAGTTTTCCTCTCCTTTAGAAAGCACTTGTCTGAAAAATGTTATGCAAGTATTGGTATTGATTATTCATCGTATTTAATATCATGACCCTCTAGGGTTGGGATCTTTGTGTGTGTTAATTTTAAGATTCTTTTTAGAATTTTTGTAATAGTAGTATTTAAATCACCATTAAAGTACTGAATCAAATGAGCCTGCCCTGAACAGTCTAAACCTAAATCCCTGACATAATCCCTTACTTTTTAAAAAACATAATATATAAATAACTGTGTTATTCAGAATTGCCAATAAAACCTCCAGTGCATAAACATTGAAGATGTTAACTTCATTCAGCACAAAGCCACAATACAGCCTTTTCTGATATATATTTTAAAATAGGAACCTGCTTATATTCTCTGGTTCATGATTATTAATAGTTAGAGTAAAATATTTACTTTTCCTAACCCCGATTACCAGTTAGGCATTTACAGCATATATAAAGGGCAACTGCTATGAACGAGAAAGAATTACAAAACCAGCTACTTTTCCTGTTTGTATTATTCTTAAAACACCTACACACCTGCTATCGCTTTCCCTTCCTTCCTTACGAAAAAGAGGAAAACATCACACGGAATTAAGTACTTGTTTTTTACTGCATTACACGTCACAGTATTTTTTTTAAAGACACATACCTCCTCCTCATATTCAGAGCCACTTTCATCTTCACTATCTGACCTGGGAGCAACTTCGTAACTGTACAAAGACGACAGAAAAATTATGAATTACAGATAACAACAGGAAGGATTAGGTTCAATACACCTCCTACTCAGCTTACACATAATGAATTAAAAGAAGAATAGAACAGGGAAAAAAGAAAAAAGAACAACTAAGAGAAGCCCATGAAAAATATCAATGCAAACAGAAAAAACAACCTACTTGTATGCTAATTACTTACCCGGGGTTCATTTCCAGCCAAGCATCCAGCTGACTTGCTTTTGGTGCTTCTGGTCCAAGAAGAACTTTGCCTGTTTCAGTGTGAGTCACTTTGACTGGAAGGTCACTCATCTGACTGCTCTCATCTATGGGCTAAAAATTCAAATGAAATGTTATACCATAAGGCAACTGAATTTCATGCTTGTCATACATAGTAAAAAGAACTAAGAGCACCTTCAAAATTCCAGATCTGAACAAGCAGTGAAATTTAGTTATTAGAAGCCACACCTTCCCACATGGCTATCAAGCAAACGCTGAGTCACAGTATTTCTGTGTGTAACACATTCTAGGTGACATCCACAAATATATCATAGGATTCCAAATAAATTAACAAGAGCAGCATGGAACAGAATACACTGTTGGCTTCCGTGAAACAAGACAAAACGCATGTATGCTTATAGACATTTAATCCTATTATTTATACCAATGGACACCTGTAACAAATAAACATACATTGACCTTATGACCTTTTCTCTTACATGGAGAAACAAGGACATAACAATTTAGCTAACTTTTTAAGTAAAGAAGGCCTATTTTAAAGATTCACTGTCCTGACTTCTTCAATTAAGCTGGTAAAGCACCTACAATACCAAAACGTTTTACTTATTCTGGTGCTCTAACAAAAACAGAAGAGCGTAATTACTTTTTCTGTTTTTTCTTTGCCCTGTTTAATCACAGGTTTTCTACTTTAAAAACTTCTTGCCTTCTACTGAAGAATCTTTTCCTAATATATATATATGAATAAGAGAAAATAATTCTGAACAGTTATAAATACAGTGACTGACGGAGTATAAGACTTACCCCATTTCCATAAATACTGAAATTACAGGAATGTTATGTGCATTTTCCTTGTGCAACTTTAACTATATTAAAGGATTTTGCTATAACTCTTTACCTACATCAGCAAAAATATCACTTGCAAGTATAAAAAACACCGGAAGTAAAACAGTAATACAATTCTAAAGTCTTTATATAAAAATAAAATGGAACAGAAAAATAGTATCAACAGAATAGCTCTTAATGAATCAGTATATGCTCTGTTACTGAATAAAAAACATTACTCAAAAAATGACAGTAGAAAAACTACTCATTTCCATTTGCTTCTGAGGAGGAAGAACTTTCAGATGTCTTAAGCCATCATAATACTATAGTCTGTCCTGTGTCTGAAAGGTAATTACATGCAATGTCAACAATGCATTTTACAAAAATGAGAAGCTAGAATATATTGTGTTTACAACCTCATTTTAGAAAATAAATTATGTCTACACATGGACTGCCAGAAAACCATTTACCTTTAAACATATAACAAAGCTGAGAGGGATTCTTCAGTATACTCAGTGATAGATTCAATATATTTTTCTTTTAGTCTTCAACTTTCTGAAGAGAAACAGGCTAGCATAAATGTTAATCTAGATAATTTTTATTGCTCTGTATAAACCACAGCTCTTCTTAGAACACTTGTGGTCATGATTTTTTTTTAAGCTATAGCAATGGCACACAGAACAATCACTGGGAAGTTTAGAAAAGAACAACAAAAAAACCACCTTGTAAAATACATACCTCTCCATCAGGACCAAGACCAGATGCCATTCCTTCTGCATTTTCTTCAGCCTTCTACAACAAATGAAGAAATGAAAAATATCATGGTCAGATTACAAGTATAGAGAGAATACCTCATATGATGTAAGCGTTTTGGACCATGAATACGTTTCACTCTATTTCTGGACAACCTGGGATGCATGTAATTTAAGGTGTGGGTGGATACAGGTAGAGATAGGCACAGAGTTACTACCACACACACAAATCATTTACTAGTATGAACAGGGTGCCTACACCACCTCTAGTCACTGTAATAAATCTGCATCTAAAAAATGGCTGACCTACTGAATTTCTGTTCCAGACCTAGAGCTCAGTTGCTTACGGCTTGTGCTAATACAAATAAGATAGTAATTAATTTTCATGTGATTTACTATTAGTTTCTTCTAAAGTGCTTTAATCTCCATTTCGGAGATACATGCCTAATTATCTTTGTTAACTACCCTTTCACTAGCATTACCAAAAATGGCAATCTGGTTAAGCTTAATTCTAGTCTGAAACCTTTAAACTATTTATGAAGTACAATATCCTTTAATATACAAAAAATAACCTGAAGGAGAGGCTTATAAATACTTCACTGGGCTACACAAATGTCATTGGTCCTACTCAATGCAACAATAGCTGATGCTCAGTAAGAAAAGCATCAATATGAGCTTGAAGGCTGCCTGTTCGAGCATTCCTGGGCAGCAAGCATGTCTGCTGATGAAGAAAGGAACTGTACAGGAATTGAAGAGTTTAAACAAACACAGGGGCAGGATAAGTTACAATAGCACATATCTGGCCTTGGCTGAACAAGCTACATTGACTGACGATATTTTTTCCTTTGGTGAACAAGATTGTTATAGCTTAGCTAAAGTCAATGGAAAGAACCTTAGAATGCAAACACAGGACCACAAACAAGCAGTAAGCATCAGTGCTGTTCACTGTGCAAAGATCAGATCCTGCTGTGAGAGCAGAAACATTTACAACCTATAGTTAAACATTATTTTGGAAAGCAGGAACATATGTTACAAAGGAAATAAATGTAAACAATGACAGATATCTCACACTTGTATTTTGGGCTATGCAAAGATGTCTTTAATCTTGACAATTTAACCCTTGACAAGGAAATACCAATTTTATAAAAGTAGGAAGCTACATTTTCTTCATTCTCCATATAATGACAGGAAAAACTCCTACGGATAAAGGTGAAAGGTTGCACAGCAAGTTAAATTGGCCTATCAGATAAAAATTTCATTTGGAGTATTCTGGATTTTTTAATCCATGACTGCAGTGAGGATGTAGGACACTAGCTGAACAGGAGGCTGGAGACAGAAGACACAAATCCAGGAATGTGAAAAAAGCAAAGAAGGAAAATCTACCATAAAGATTCCCCAAACTGTATCCCAGAGAAAAAATGGACTAATCTGAAATTTTATTCTCGTAAGAATATACAGTTCACTTGGATATTATATAATGTAAGCCTGGCAAAGACGAGAAGTACTTCCTCACCACCTACTTCCTCCTTGCCATTTCTAGGAGAAAATCCTAAGAACTCTCTTCTCTCATTTCTCTGTAAGTACGAAACATTTAACTACAGATGTTAGTAGATTAAACTGTGTTTTACATGGATTACAAAGTATTAAAAGCGTATGACTCGGAAAAAGACACAGTGTCCACTAACTTCAATGAGTGCTGCAACCATGCAACAACAAATTCATAGAATTATAAATTAAAACAAAGGGTAATATTTGTGTGCACTCCTGTATTCATGACAGATGAGCAAAAGCTTGGTGGAAAAAACTTAATTACAAACAAAAAGCTGCAGATGATCAAGACAGAGCTGAGATTTTTTTCTGCTAGTCTACCTCTAGGTTTTAGGCTGGGATACTTATAAGCAGTGAATATTTATGGGACGTATTTCCTTTTTACTTCAGCGACAGAAAATTATGTCTTTGTTGACATGGCCAGAAGATACTCTGTTCCTCATACATACTTCAGCTAAACTGACATAGAAATAGAACCATATCACAGATGTGGATTGTTGAAGGAATTAATATTTTTTGTTAGAGCAGTACATTTACTCCACACACACTCTTATTAAGGATTATCTCCACTGTAATTCCATACATTAAATCAGGACTGTTCTCACTGGTAATACAGGTCAAGAACTCCGTTTAAGTTACATCTTAACTTTGTAGGTGGGGCATTCTTCCTATGTTAGGACAAAAAGTACAGAGGTTTTGGAGGGGGACAGAAGAAAACATGGAGCATTTTTTAGGCCATTAATCTCCAAAATTAGTAATTTTTATATGCCAGTATTTATTAGCACATTTAGAGTGCTGCCTGTAAACCATGTAAATATAATGTTTATATTTGTATCAGTAACTAGTAGCAAACCAGGCATGGAAATGGATTATAAAAATCCTCTTATCCATCCTGCAAGAGATGAAAGGTATTCAGAGGTCACAAAAATGACAAATCACTACTTAATGATTACTTCACACACAGAATTATTTTTTCAAAAATAGCACTGTTCAGTTTCCATAACTAGTCTCTCTCAGAATGTAAAATATTACATACAAAGCACGGTAATTTTGAAAAGCTTCAATTAAATGTTAAGAATGCACAATGAAGAATACTAGTGGCAGAACACCCATTTATTATAATAAACCTACCCAAGTCCCTTCTCTCTAGTCGTTTCCAATGGTCCTACGAAACTGCATTGAGCCAAGTGTAGAATGTGGAGGTCTAAAAAAGTTACCCTGTATGAAACAGCTACACAAACCAGACTCTTCCCGTCTTCTTCATACAATGTATTTTGGATCCACTGGATCCTTTTTAGGTACTTTAATCCTAATTTACATGTCTGGCCCAATTTTGCCTTTAGAAAGTTTATCATCAAATCAATGTTAACAGCCCACAATTTTCTAATCCTGCCTCCTTCTTACCTTCTTTGGAATTAATGATAGCAAATTTCCTCTATGTTTCAGTGGAGAGAGATGAGTCCCCTCAGTGTTAAGAATCTCGCAGTGTAGATAATTTTAGATACTCTGGTATGTGTATGACAATTGGGCATCACTACATTTATCAACATTAAAATTGGATTTGAAGAAGAGATGGTCTAAAAATACCAGCTGTAACTACTTGCCTTCTTTCTTCTCCTTCTCTTCTTCTTCTCTTTGGCTGCTTGTGCCTGTTTATGCTCCCATACCAGGTTAGTCAAGTTAGCCACATACTCATCTGTCTGCTGCAATAGGTAGGCCAGGCGTCTGTCTTTCTTTTGGTCAATCAGCTTACGGTAGCCTTCTTCATCTTCAGCCTAGCAATACAAAATAGACATCAGCCATGATAGAAATGCTTCCAAACAAACACCAACCAACTCCTATGTCAATAATCACGTGTTATCTTAATTAGGTCATTATGATCTGCATAGGGGGACAATTAGATGGGTAAAGAACACATTGGATGATCAGGCCCAGAGGGTCATACATTTGTGTTAATGGGTCATAGAATCATAGAATCACAGAATGGTTTGGGTTGGAAGGGACCTTAAAGATCACGTAGTTCCAAACTCCCTGCCATGGCAGGGATACCTTCCACTAGATCAGGTTCCTCAAAGCCTCATCCAACCTGGCCTTGAACACTTCCAGGGAGGGGGCATCCACAACTTCTCTGGGCAACCTGTTCCAGTGTCTCACCACCCTCACAGTAAAGAATTTCTTCCTAATATCTAAATCTACCCTCTTTCAGTTTAAAAACATTACCCCTCGTCCTAACACTACACTCCCTGATAGAGAGTCCCTCCCCATCTTTCCTGTAGGCTCCCTTTTACGTACTGGAAGGCTGCTATGAGGTCTCCTTAGAGCGTCCTCTTCTCCAGGCTGAACAACTCCAACTCTCTCAGCCTGTCCTCATAGGGGAGGTGTTCCAGCCCCCTGATCATCTTCGTGGCCCTCCTCTGTACCCACTCCAACAGGTCCATGTCTTTCTTATGCTGGGGGCCCCAGGGCTGGATGCAGTACTCCAGGTGGGGTCTCACCAGAGCAGAGTAGAGGGGGAGAATCACCTCCCTCAACCTGCTGGCCACGCTTCTTTTGATGCAGCACAGGATGAGATTGGCTCTCTGGGCTGCAAGCGCACATTATCAGCTCATGTCCAGCTTTTCATACACTAACACCCCCAAGTCCTTCTCTGTAGGGCTGCAGAGGGTCATACTCTATCTGGAGACAGTCAGAAGAAGGATACCACAGGGGTCTATACTGGAGCATGTTGTGTTTAACATCTCTGTCAGTGACCCAGAGGAAGGGATGGAGGGCACTCTAGTCAAGTTTGCAGATAACACGAAACTGGGGAATACCAGTCAACACACTCAAGGGCTGGGCTGCACTTCAGAAGGACCTGAACAGGCAGAGAAGTTGTGCCATTTCTGACCTCAAAGATTTTCAAGACATGACTGAAAAAAGCCTTGAGCAACCTGCTTTGAACTCGATGTTGATACTGCTTTGGGAAGGTGTTGGACTAGAGAGGTTCCTGTCAGCTCGAGTGACTCTGGGATTCAGGTACTCTGTGATTCTAAGTATCTCGTACTCTCATGGACTAATGACTGGAAAATCTACAGCAGTTATGACAGGTAAGGGGGGAAAAAAAATTACTTAATGCCACATCAAACAGATTACAATGTCCCGAAACTGAGATGCTTGGTAAGTCTCCTACAGAGATGGTTTTTAAAAGACATGAAGTGCAGGTAGCCCATACCCAGAGGAAGAACATGGCAGCTGGATGCAAACTTGCGTTTAGTCCTTTTTCCAGTATGAATTGAAAAATCTTTTTCTTTTAGGTGTTAAAAGAAAATTTTCTTTTGGGCAGATTATCTACCATCTTTCTACTCTAGTTATTTCACCTTTGATACAGGTCACTATCAGAGACAGGATTCACCAGATAAGCCGTATCTCTGAGTCATTCTGGTAACTTCTGCATGCTTACGGCACTGCGTAAGTGTGTTGTTAGGGGTAAGACATACCAGGAAATATTATTTCCATGTGCTGTGAGATATAATGCAGCATTTGAGCATGTCAGAAAAATACAAGAAAAGCAGAGACGCCTTTGTCAATGTTAGCTAAAACAAGTAAAGGAAGTATACAATGCCTTATAAAAACAAAACACGAGTAGGAAATTTTTAAAGATGATTACTTTAAAAGACAGCACTCTGGGAGATACAAAAGATCTCCTGCCTTTCTGGAGAGACACCAGAACTGCAGAAAGTTGTAATGTTCAGAACAGCTGTAATGTTCAGAACAGCTGTAATGTTCAAATTGAGCTTGTAAAATTGCATGTAAAATTCAGTTGTAATGTTCAAACCATCAGAACTACAACACTCAAAACCTAAGTTTTTAGAATTTACTATTATTATTATTATCATTGTTATTACTATTATTACTGAATAGACAGTCATTGTAATCTAGCCAAGGTACTTCCTTTATACATTCAAGCTTGTCTTGATAATATCTTTTTAAATCAATGCCTATTCCCGCATGTGATATATACTAGTATTAATGAGCTGTGACACAGTCACCATTTCTAATCATAGCCAATGAAGGACAATCTGTGGAATGAATTCAATGTTCCTGAAAAGATACGTGAAGAGTTTTAGACACAGCACATTTTCCTAGACCACACCATGCGTCTGCGAGGAGGAGATGTTTGTAAAAACCCCTAGTACGTATCTGCAAATTCAAATGTATCACAACTGGACTAAAACTAAATAGGCAAAATAACCCCACTAACATAACACACACTTTGATTTTACAGAAGGATTTAATTGAGCAATAGGGGCAATGACTTCTGAGTGCAAAGCCTCAAACTGAAAATGCCTGTGAAGTGCTGTATCTATAGTAAGAGTTTAACCACTGCCTTGGTGAAGGAGTCTTAGGAGAAAGCACTGATATTCTGGAAGCACTGGTATCCTGTGCCATTTCTAGACCTTCAAATCTACTTCATATTTTTCAGCAATGGACATCTTTATTATTTATTGTACTACATGTTAGACTGACATAAGCTCAACCTCACGATGTAAAAAAATATTTCTAAAATATCAAGATTACCTTTTTTCCAATCAGCTCTTTTTCTCTAACAATTAACATTTTTATGAGCCTGGTTAGATAGACTGCTAGCAATTATCTCTAACTATAAAAAAGCTCTATAATGCTGATTACTATGTAATTTTAAGAAATGCTCTAGGGCCTAAACATTTGTTACTCTTACGCAAGACCTTCATTTACATTTTACATGCAGTTTTATTTCTAAGTTTTTATAATTTTTATATTTAATTATTTCTACATTTCATTTTGTGATTTTTTAAAACCAAACTGTTCAGTCCTTATTCCTGGTGGGAATAGATTCTGGACAGGGACTAGAGTTTTGCGTTACATCTGCACCCATATTAGATACTTACTGTTTTTTACCAGCATGTTTCAAAGTAAGTATGTAAATTCCCATTCAATTCTATGTTGGTGAAGTGTTAATAAAGAGCTAACCAATGTCTTGAAGAAATTTTTCCAACCCCAGCTGCTAACATACTTGTACATACGCATTAATCTGTCTACACTTTAAAATCCAGAATTATTTTAACTCCCAAAATGCAGGCAGCCCACTGATTGGTTCCATAGCATTCTGAGAAGACATGATTATATGCAAACCCATTCTACTCTGTCCTAAGAACGATACAACTGGTATTGTGCAGGTGCAAGGAAGGGAGAAGTATGAAACAGCAAGGTGTATGGTCCTGGAGCGTTAATGGGTAGAACTGATTGGTATTAATTCTCAAGATACATGCATTACTGCTATTGGTTATGTATTTTCACATGTGAAATCAGCTTTACGTAAAAGTTGCGGAGTAATGCCATGAACAAGTTAATCATACGGAATCTTCAAAACTATAAACCTAGAAATAAAACACAACCCAGTATTTATATAATGGACCAATACCCCTGCAATTATGTAACAGTGTTAGTTAATGAAATCAAGTGATGTTATACAGAAATGGCTGTGCTAAGTTTTCATGCTGGTAGAAAAAACAATTATTCTTATCAAAAACCTTAAAAAAAGAAGTAGCTATAGGTTAAAATGAACAGTGTCGCATTCATTACCATCTTCAGAAACACACATAATCAAACTGCAGCACTTTTAGACTTCTACTTTTTGAGTTACAGAGGCTTTATTCTGCAAACGAAATACATGGTGTGGCTGAGACTGTATATGAAATATTAAAAGGATACAGTATATAATTTTAGCTAAAATAACCATATTCCTTCCTCTACTCCTTACCATTAGTCTCCTCATTCTTTCTTTCTCAATTCTCTCAGTTTCTTTTTTCTGCTCACGCTCAGTGTTGGCATGCCAAGTTGCCACAGCTTTAGAAAGTTTCTGAATTTTCCCAGCGACTGACCGGTGGTACTCTTTAAAATCTTTAGCATGCTGCAATATGCTATTCAGGTATTCCTAGAAAGAGAAACAAGTTAGTGCAGACACTTGGACAAAGCACAGGATTTGAAATCAGGAATACAGAAGTTCTAATCTTATTGTTTCCCAATTGCTTATCACACGATTTGGAGTTTTTTTCATCTTAGAAACTCCAAAGGTAAATAAAGTATGTCATAGAGAAGACCCACACAGGAAAGCAAGGTGCATGTCTGTCATGGGGCAAACAGTTAATAAGTTAAAATACCTGATGCTTCTGCCTACGCTTCCTCTCCTGTTCTATCTTCTGCTGTTTCTCAAGCTTTTCTGTCATACGGGCCTCCCTCAAAGTCTGGCGTTTGCTTCGTTTGTAGGCTTTGGAGTTCAGCGCTGTCTCCAGTGTTGTGTCACGACGCATGCAGGCTACTACCTCTTGTCTTAGCTACCAGTGGGAAAAAAGAAACACTTCAAAAAAAAATACATGGAGGAACAACTTTAAACACTGGTATGTTTAAAGTAACGGTCCAGAAGATGTCCCAGCCTCCTCTTCCCTTTCCATTACAGTTCTGAAAAGATCCAGCATCTATACAGATGCAGCAGCTATGTCTGTCTCCATGAACAAATCTTAAGTCTCCACAGGACGGCCAAAAGTGTTAATCCCTCTTAATCATCATTTCTTCCTTCTTTACAAGATGCTGCAAATGACTGTCCTGCTGCAGTGAAAGGGGTTACCCAAGATGTTACACCATCAAAGTAAAACATGAATGAACAACATAGATAACATACTTTCTAGAGTTGGACCTGAACATAGCTGACAACTCGTTTCACTGCCAGCTGCACAGGAGACAGCAGGGAGAGGTAAATGTTAAGGTCTTGGAGCAGTACTGCCACAGTCCCAGAAGCAAGGAAAGCCTGCTGCTTTTCATCTGACCTCTGACAAAACTTCATTACAAAGGAGTGCCAAGGGTAGAGGGAAGAAAGTCTTGGACTTCATGGTACAACTACTGCCAAGGTTTCTGTCAGAAGTATTTTTGCTTGACCTGACAAATCACATCTTTGTTCTTCCACACTAGCCGGAAAAGCCAATGGCAAGACGCGCATAAGAGTCTGGCAGTGTCATTCCTTTTCTGAAATTCATTTGCTAATACATGCACTCAACATCCAACTCGTATCTTAGGTATGATCTTGTTACGCTTAATTTTCAAAGTCTGTGTGCCACAGTGGAAATCCTGAAAACAGATCACAGAGAAATACCACACACACCACCAACATACAGCTCTTCCTAAAACAAGGGGGCCCATGACAAATATGAGGTATGTCCAGAAAGAGGTGTCTGTTGGGATTTGTGTTGAAAATCAGTTTGCCGCCTGTCCAGCTCTTGTTTTGTCTTTGTGCCAATGCCACGTTCATTATGAAAGACACAGTTCTATGGTTACACTTTAGACTGGAAGATAAATCAGGAAGCGAAAAGAACACTTGCACATTTTTATTAACAAAACAAAATAAAATCTAAGTTAAACATTTCTGTGACTTGCTTATCGGTCAAGTTTGCTCTCATGCAAAATCTCCTGCTTAGGTTCAGTGCTGCTGCAAAATCTCTTGCCATTTTACTCTTTGCTACATGAATACGTTTGGCTGTGACCTCTATGAGAATTTTCCCAAAGCAAAAGGCATTACCTGGCGCTGGAAATTCAGTAACCTAAGTGCCTTCAACTCCACTGTAGCTTTGGTTCGCAGATCAGGGGGCAGAGAACCAGGCAAGTTCTCCAGTTCCTGGATTCTGTGAGCAATTCGAGCCTGAAGCCTAAGTAAACAGAAAATTGGATAAGACACCAGGAGAAATCTGTAAGTGGTATCAAAATTATACACTAAAAATAAGCAATTTATCTCAGGCATTTATTTGGCTTTTACGAATTGTTTCTGACCTAACAGGCTTTTGCAGAGGTGACATTAGGTATCCTTTTCCACTTTGACAATAAATTGTCAAATAATGAAAATACCCCTTGGCCCTTCTTTTAATTTTGACTAAAAATATATGCATGAAAAGAAACTTGGGAATTTTATTTTACTCATACTATACAGCATTCTGTTTTCAAGCTTCTTTGATGGGTATTGTTTTATGCACAGTGTAGTCAGTGATGACACAGACAGAACTTTCCTTAATATCTGGAATTCTACTTGCTTATCTTACTGACAAATGAAAAGTTCATTAGTAAAGTATTCACACTTACATAGCTGTTACACTGTAAACCAGATTCTATTTCACTCTTCCTTTACAAGCTCCTTTTGCATTCATTTGCAAATTCAAGAGAGAGAGAAAGAGAGAATAATGGACAAGCCAGACAGAACTTGTTTTTTTCTATTTTTTACATTGCAAACCAAGATCACAGAGGCAATAGTTACATAGTTTTTGTGTTTTTATTTAGAAGTAAGTACTTCCATGAACTGCAAATTTTGCCAAGGCACTAAAATAACAGACCCCAAAATTGTAAGTTGTCCAAAAGTTGCATCTAAGTTCAACTGAATCAGTGCCCTCCACTTCCTACACGCTTTAGGGGGTAAAAAACCAACCAAACAAAAAACCAACCAAAAAAAAAAAAAACCCCCACCAACCAAAACCAAACACACATCCCAACCCCCAAAATGAGAGAGTCCTCTCTCCCCAAAATCAAAAACCTAAAGGCCCAGGAACAGAAAGGTATCTCTTCTCCCGGTACTGCACAGGACTCAAAAGATTTCCTCTTTCTTTACTTTCACTGAGCACAAAACATCGTATCACGTTAGGAAAAGGTGTCTGCTGCTGTTTGGAACTGCCGGGAAGGGAGAAAGAAAACGCTTTCTATAGGGCTTCTTTGCATACAGTGATCCTTCTTCCCCTGCCCTTTTGCCCCCTCATCACTCCAAAGTATTAGCACAGTGACATAAACTCTCATACACTCGACATGTCAGCCTCACAGCTGGAAAGCAGATCACACCTCAGGCAAAATGGCTGCACCTGATATATGGAGTCAGAACAAATCAAAATACTAGTATCTCACAGTAACTGCATGCATCATGACTTATGTATAATCCAAAGAGCAACTGGAATCACTTGTACAGTTGCAGACAATATCTATTCTGTAACAGCACTCCTTCCTAAAACTCCTAAACTTCCTAAAACTATGCATTTTTTTATATTACCAAAAGACTTCTGAAGTTCCTGGAACAACAGAAAGGAGGTAATGCTGCATTACTGCAAAAGACTAACTTAGTGTCCTCAAGAGATCAAAACATTGAAGCAAAATGAAGGTTAGTTAAGTTTTTCATACTAACTGGAAAGTAAATCAAGAAGGGTTACTTCCTAATAAGAGAAAGTTCCAATAAAAGCTAGATATTTGTCCAGGCCCAGAGAAGTTCATGATTTCCATAGGAAAATTATTCATTCAGAAAATGACACTGGCATATTTTGTTCTTTCAAGTGTATGTACTACACTAAAAAAAGTCCGCAATTTGTACAACTTCACCTGTCACTGCGCATTCCAGTTATTAAGAAGAGATTTTAGTGCACCTAAGGAGAATCTTGAGAATTAAATTGGAGATTATCTTGGAGATTAGAGGTACTACTGTACATCCATATAAAAAAGCAGCCAAGATGTACAAAAAGAATACTGTTCTAAATCACTGATGGGTGCTTTGCCTGTTGCTTATTCCTACATGGATGTAATCATGCATCACAACTATGATTTATTACTCTTATTTCACTCCCCAAATAGCAGCAATACTTCTCCTGAAATCATCACCTACAAAACAGTTATAGCCAAATCCCAGTTTCACTGACTTTAATGAACTTTTAGGGGAGAAGTCACAATCTTTCCAAACTTCTCTTTTGAGCTGTGAACTTAGTAAGGCAGCTCAATACTGAACATATATTTTCAATTTTTTTTTTCTTTTTTTGTTAGTATTGAGTGCTCCTTCTTGTACTACACAAGAGGATGAGCACAAAAAGTTAATCCAGGTTCTTTCTAACATAACTTACCGGTTTAGGTAACTAAATGGATGAGTCACTTTGCAAACAAACATGAAGTAAAATGTTCACTTATTAGTTCTGCCAGAATTGGCTTGTTACTTTAACTCCAGGTATGAAATAGGTGAAAGTGCCTGCTGATCTAAAAGTTTACACAGTAGAAATTCAAGTAATAGCCAAAGTTGGGCTGGGGTTTGTATTTCTGTCACCTAAATTATTAATAAAAATCCAAATATACAACCTTCTTGAGATGACTAAACATAATGCAAGCTTATAGAATGTGTTTATTATGTCCCATCATCACACTAAACAGTCCACCCCCATATAAAGACTCTTCACACTGCTAATCATTTTATTGGTTTTTCTCGACTTGGGTTTATAAAAAGGCTGATCAGAAATAAATGCACGTGAATTTTATCATTAAATTATAAGGCAGGTTAGTATTTCCAGGACCACTTTTCCTCTAATTTTTTTCCTCCGTATGTTGAAATGACTGCAAAAACAGAGATCTGCACTAAGCTACAAACAATGACACTTCTATGCTTTTGTGGGTGATTACCCCTCCTTTTATGACCCAGCCAGAGGGAAGGAATAGGAAAAAAAAAAATCAGTATTTCTAAGTCAGTACTACCTCAGAAAACTCTCATTGAAATTCAGGTCCGTTCTCTATTAAAATAAAGTCCTGGTCAAAAAAGTTCATATACTAATGAAAATCTACAGCACACATATGGAAGAATAATGAAAGATGGCAGCCAGATGGGTAACATATAAAACAAAAAAAAGGAACATATTTTGAAGTTTTATTTCAGACTTTCCTAGAAGTACTAATTATATTGTCTAGGGTACTAACAGTAGTAGTAATAGCAGTAGTCTTTTCTTGAGTAGTCAGTAGGATTTTTAAAAGAATTTCGTGATAGACATCCCAACTCAAGTGAATGCAACAACTACTTGAGGTGTTTCTCAGCACAGCTATTCCTCTAGTCTTTAAAGAGAATGACTGCAGTTTGTTGGACTATTGCTATCTTCACGGAAAAATACTACTAGCTATTAGGTAAACAGAATCCAAAGAAAAAAGTTTCCTAGATGCTTTTTACAAACACTTGAAGGATATAATCTCACCGTTTAAAGGATATATTTAATTAATCTTTGCAGTTCAGCAATTTATCTTCATCCACGCAGAAAGTGGCTAGTGCATCTACACAGAGACCTCTTTGCAAAACAAGTGATGCACACCTCTTCCTCATTAATCGGGGTCAACAGCAGAGGTTATGCTTGCACATTCAAACCTGTCTGGCATGGATGCCATGCAGTAAGCCATGAAGATTCATAAGAAGAGACTTTGCAGAAAACAGAAAGAAACCACGGACAATCTACAGCACAGTAGCAAGTGTATTTTTTTTAATTAGCAATAAGAAGGTGGAAAAAACACATAACAGAACAACTTTAAATTACACACGCTACTAGCTTTAAGAGATCTATTCAGTGAGATTAAAAAGCAGCACTTTATTTTGAAGAAAGTGTTAAGAGTTTTATAAAAGCACGGTATCAATTTTTCATTCTGGCCAAATTTCAAGGAACACAACAAGTTTAACAGCTCTCCACATACTAATAATTTAAACTTCGTAGATATTTAAAATTATTATCAATATAAGTTTCTTTTTATCCACCTTTAGTCAAACAGAGATTAACAACAATTATCATATAATCTCATCTCAAATCAACATACACTGCAAATAACTTCTCAGCACAACCATGTGAATTTGACAGCAACATTAACTCTCCATTTTCTTTCTCTTTAACATACGCTGGAGCCTTTTTTATAATCAGATCAAGGCTTTTCAGGGAGAAAAAGCAGTGTGCTGTTGTTTCGTTAGATTCAAAGCTTCTTCATATCCCACAGTATGTTAATAGGTGTATTACTGCTTCACCATCTCTACTGGTCTGTTTAACACGTGGTTAATGAATAGGAATGCTACACTGTACTTCTAAGTGCCTATGCGATGAATTGTTTGATGAATCAAACTACGTAACTTCCTAGTAACAAGGAAAGGAAAAAAGAATTGCTATCACTGAAAAAAAAAAATTAGATATAATTATGTAACAGCAAAAACTAAAGTATTTCATATTTACAATATTGTTCTGTGAGTAAGACATGCTCTAATACATAAATCATGTACATGATCCATTAAGAAATGGAAATGTGTATGCAGTAGCATGTATTCTCCTCCAAAATCTGCCATTACGCACTTGAGACGGGGGTATACAACAAAAGAAATGGCCAAACACCTCAGCAATTAATCTTTTCTCATGTAGCTCATGAATTAGCACTAAATTACTGTCTCCCCAGCAGCACACTTCACACCTTTAGTCCAGAAACACCATGTTCAAGGTCACTGTCGTGATTTAACCCTGGCCGGCAACTAAGCACCACACAGCCCCTCGCTTACTCGCCCTCCACCCCCAGTGGGATGGGGCGGGAGAATCAGGAGGGTAAAAGTGAGAAAGAAACTCATGGGTTGAGATAAAACAGTTTAATAATTAAAAAGAAATAATTTTTTATTTTTTTTTTGAGAGAAAAAAATAACAAAGAGAGAGGAAAATAAAACCCAAGAAAGACAAGCGATGCAAATGAAAACAACTGCTCACCATCAATCGACCGATGCCCAGCCAGTCCCTGAGCAGTGGGCCCCTGCCAACCTTCCCCCCAGTTTTATCACTGAGCATGATGACATCATATGGTATGGAATATCCCTTTGGTCAGCTGGGGTCAGCTGTCTCGGCTGTGTCCCCTCCCAACTTTTCGTGCACCCCCAGCCTACTTGCTGGCGGGGTGGTGTGAGGAACAGAAAAGGCCTTGACTCTGTGTAAGCACTGCTCAGCAGTAACGAAAACATCCCTGTGTTATCAACACTGTTTTCAGCACAAATCCAAAACACAGCCCCATACTAGCTACTATGAAGAGATTTAACTCTATCCTGGCCAAAACCAGTACAGTCACTGAGTAAATCTAATCTGTAATTTTCAAGAATCCCTAACTTAATCAAATTCAAAGCTCATGCTTTCCCACAATAAGGCAGTATACCAAAATTTTACCTTTTGGGTCTACCTATATGTTTGAAATATGAATCCCTAAAATACCTATGTGATAACTCTGTCTTTTCATGAAAATGAGCAATCAAACAGTTTTCTAAGTGTTTCAAAGTATAATGCCCTTTTACTAAAAAAGTTAACCACCGAGAGATCTCAAGAGACAACTGTTTCATAAAGCTAACTTCACTGGTTTCAGGATACAAATGTTTATATTGGCTTTTTTCTACTCTCTTTTTATGAAGAAAATGTGAATACATCATGTTTCTGTATTGAACTTCCCTATACTAAAGCTAAGTCTAGCACTGTCGAAAGCACAAAAGCTGTTAAACGGCTTTTTTTCAAAGCTTTTGTCTGATATTACTTATACAGTTTTAAATAATTAAAAGACTTCCACAGTTCTAAGCATTCTGGTATGCACAGCAAAATAAAATTCCAGCAGTATTCAACAAACTCATTGTTATAGTAACTGGAAGATGCATCATCAGTCCAAAATAAGCAAATATGCTAAGTGCAGTTTCTTTCCTCTGACTGATAATGATCAGGAACATATTTTAGGTGCAGGTCAGGATCCTTCTGCCTGGCAGATTCTCAAGGTCAATTGTTTAATAGCCTTGTTGATGGGAAGAGGGAAGAAGTCTCTAACTCCACAAGAAATGTCATCCTCTATACTTTGCAATGAATATAATTCATCATCTAATTAAGGCACTCAGAAGGCAACTTTTGAAGATCATGCTTGCTGGCAACCATTTTTTTTGATCTTGCCTGTGACCTCCTTAATATTCTCTCTGATCTTTGGTAGTCCAACCAACCCCATCATCACTAATAAAATTTGGTTTTGCTGTGGCCACTAACTCACCAGCCTTTTGACCTCCACTGTTCTCTTCTAACATCCCTTTTGTTTCTAATTCTGAAAACTTTCTGCACTGAATTGGTTTCTCTGTAGACTACAAGGATTTTTATTTCCTAGCTTCCAGTGTTTGCAACATCCAAGTAATACACTAGCCCAGCAGTGTCCCTGAGCCTGTTTTAAACTTATCTGGTTTGCAATGATATTGGCAGTATGTTTTACTAGTTCGTAACTTGGGATAGAATTAAATCATAGTTTGGTTTGACGTTTCCCTACTTCTCTTTGACGTGGTCTCTCTCTGGAAACTCAGTTTATACTATTGTCACTACAGTACTTGATTGCAAGGAGTTTCAATCGAGAAAGTGAAAAACAACAATCTGCATATGCATTTGAATCTTGTTATTGGCCTTTACCTATATTCACGTTCTTGGAGTATTTCAACAGGATCCAATCCTTGTGGCTTCTGGATAGGGCTGATGCGATTCTGCTTTTGCTGCAGCTGAACAATGGGTGAAGGCTGTCCAGGTGGTGGCTGTGGCACAGAGGGCCCAGGCATGGCAGCAGCAGGCTGGGCAGCAGCGGGGGCAGGAGAAGGCCTCCCACTAGGGGGTGGTGCGGGAAGCTTCTGCTGCGCATTGGAGACACTCATATCCGGGGCTTGGCCTGAATCATAAAACGTACTATTCGTAACATGAAATACAGAACACAGGAGGAAAATCAAGATGCCTTCTGAAGACAGAACATGAAGCTGAGGTATAAAATTACCAGAAAAAGCACACTGAGACAGACTACATGCTGTATTTAAAAAAACATACTAAAATGCAAGTATACCACACATTGCAGGAAGTGGTCCAAAGAAAAACAAAACACATGAAACTTTATGATGAATGCTATTTCTTTTTCCTGCTAACTTTCAATTCTAGCGTTAGAAGAAGTAAAATAGCTGTAAAACTGATTTCGTGCAAGTGTAGGATCTAATTCTGCCTCTTGTTCACTATCCTTGCACCACTTAGAAGAAGGCATCTATAATCACAACCTGACAACAAGCACAAGTAAGTCTGCTTTTGGAGCTCTATCAGAACTAGATATCCATATTAAAATTTCTACAACTGTACTTAGAAGTACCTGTCATACATAAATAGCCTTTGTTTCGCTACGATCTCCTATTAATTGTATTTAAGTATTTCCAATACCAGGAATTCGATTACTGTTTTATCTTACAGCATTCTAATAGTCTTGAAAATTAACACTTCAGTTAACATGAAAATAGTACCTGCCATTTATAGACACTAAGGGTCACAGATTTCAGCATGCCTTTATGACAAGTCACCATTCAGATGGCGCATTCAGATGTTCAAAAATTGTCACTGACAACAGACATTGCAACAATAAAGATGTCACTTAGTTGTCTGAGGAGTCGTAGTAATTTAACGCTAGGAAAAACAACTACAAAGTACACCTGCAATCTTGTAATCAACCTTAATTCAAACACAACATCCTGAAATCTAGCCAAAAAGATTCCTTCAGAGATCGCTATTTGTCATTCACACATCTGCACAAACTCCGTAAGGAAACAAAGAAAGCCCACCAAAAGCCACTGTGTAGTCTCAGTTTTCAGGGAATCATGCAAATTGAACTGTAAAACAAACACTACCACAAACGACTGCATAATGAATGAAAAAAAAATTTAAAGAAATAGGCACAATCTAAAAATACATCAAATAAAACCTCCAAACAGATACAGCAAGGACAGACAATTTTTTTCTTATAAAAAACACAGTGATGAAAAAAGACAAACAGTAAGCAGCTTATAATTAAACAGGACAGATATATTATTATGACATACTGGATTATTTAGATAAAACTATCCATCTAGCAATTCTGTATGCCTGCCAGCATTTTTTAGTAGCAGCATTTGAGCTAGAAGGCACTGTGCCTGGTAAATTCATACATACAACCTCTCAAGAAACACTTTTTCCCCTCTTCAATTTATAAGTATTCGTTGGGAATATTCCAAGAAAAGCAATTCTACATCTGATTACATACTAGTATTTCATTTTCTTTTTATGTTACCCTAAGTAGCTGACCACTGACAGAGAATTTCTTATGACATCAACGATCACCATCACTGTCCCCAGATTTACGCACAAGCAACAACATAGCCTAACATTTCTACCGTATGAGAAGCCTGTTATTCACAAGCCTGCAATATTGTATTTATTTTTAAATCTCTCTAAAAAAACCACCAAAACTTCAAACAATATATATTACTAGGGATTTCTAATTCTTTTCAACACAATACTTCTTCCACTCTACTTTCAAACAATCAAATCAGTCCGTAAACCCAAATCTGAATGATTTGGTCCAAAACCTTATTACCACGCAGGGGAAAAAAAGTTACACTGTTCATTAGATCTCAAAGACTACACTGATTTTCAAAGCAATCCCATTAAAAAAAAAACAAAAAAACCAGCCTAATTCTACCACAGTTTGAAAACTTTTGTTTACAGTAGCAAAGACTACAGTTGAAAGTTGCTTGATGCAATTAAGCATGCTCAGAACATAACTTATTAAGTAGATTTTATGGGTGTCCCTCAGGCAGCTTACATATTTCATTCTGATTGTAAAAAGGTGCTTCATGTTCAGGCTGCCTAACAGTTGCAGTAATTTCATGTGGTCAAGTCATTCACGGATGAGTAAATCGTTAAGACTCTCCTTCATTCAAGTCCTAGGCACAGTAGACGTTACACTATTTTTCTGCATGCCTTTTTAACTCCCCCCTTTTTTTCCACCTGCATCTTTTCCCCAAACTCTACCCACACTGTTTAACCATAACTCTGTACATGTCATAAAATTAGCATTATACTCCACTATACCTTCAGTCCAAGTTTTAGGGGTAATGGCAGCTGTATGTCCAGGCATCCCTGGAGCAGGCCCTGCTCCAGTTGCAGCACCACTCATTGTATGTAACCCAATACCTGCAATTTGACAGAGGAAAGAAACCTATTAAGAAACAAACCATTTCCAAGTATTCAAAAATCATTCTGCTTTCTAGCATGCTAGTCTATTCAGGCAAGTAGTATTTTTCTTCATTAAATATGGATTTATGTAGATTTTATTGTGAAAAAAAAAATGTAATGAAGCATATTAAAATCATGTCTCCTAAAAAAAACTTACTTGGTAGCAAAGCCATATCCACCAAAATGAAGTGACCAGTGAAACTATTAAAATCATTAATAGTTTCGTTAATGAAACTATTAATTAATAGTTAATTAACAATTA